AGAACAGAGAAGTACGCTACGAAAAGTACACAAAAAAGACAACAAAAAAGAGAAGATCAAAATCTCAATCAAAAAAGACTGCAAATAGCGACCACGAAAGATGGTAAAAAAGGACATAAAAGGAACAAAGAAAAATCCACCAAAAATTGTCAAAGAAAACAACAAAAAATGGTTAGAAAAAGGAACAAAAGCCAGAAAAAATGAAATAAAAAAGGGACAAAAATTTCACAAAAAAGAGGATGACAAAAATACGATTGAGAAAAAATACGATAAAATTTCACAGAAAAAAGATGACAAAGAAACGAAAAATCTATAAAAAAGGTAACCAAAATGTACCTAATGGAAGGGATTCAAAAAAGATCATCAAAAAGTACAATAAAAAAGGGAAACAGACAAAATGAGAAAAAGACCACTACAAAAAGTGACAAAAAGTAGGTACAAAATAATACAAAAAAAGGCGACTATAAAAAAAATGTCAAAAAACGGAACCAAACGCGCCAAAAAAAGAGAATAAAAGATCATCACAAAAAAGTAGGTATAAAAAAAAAACAAAAAAAGCCGCTAATGAAAAAGTGTCAAAAACTAACACAAAAACTGGTACAAAAACTGACAAAAAAGTAAAAAAGAACGTTAAAGTAGACAAAAAGTCCACGAAAGGGCGAAAACAGAAAACAAGAAAACCATTTAAAAAATGCGAATGAAAAGGCAACGGTAAATAAATAATATAAAAAATTAACAAAAATCCAATTAAAAAAACTGCAAAAAAAGGCGACAAAAACAGACGATTCAAAGGGAGAAAAACCGCAACAAAAAGTGTTAAAAAAATACAGTGAAAAAAAGTTTACTACAAAAAGTGAGGAAAAAAAACTACTAAAAAGGAATAAAAAAACGACGAAAAGTTAAAAAAAAAATAAAAAAACGACTACAAAAATGACAAAAAATTCGAAAATGCGACAAAAAAATCCACAAACAAATGTCTTTAAAAATAAGACTAACAGAAGGGAGATAAAAAAGATCATACATGCAACAAAATCCATAACAAATGAGAAAAAGGTCACAATAAAAATTAACTAAAAAGAGCCAAAAACGCGACACAAAAATGCTATTAAAAGAAAGAATTCAACGAAGGCGACAAAAACGGGTCAGAAAAAAGAGAACAAAGTATCACTCCAATAAAAACGACGAAAAGTATACAAAAAAGGTTATAATAATAATAATAATAATGTTTATTCACGCCGAAAAATCATTACATGATAATTAAAAGAGGAGATAAAAACTCAATAAAAAAACTGCAAATAATGACAAAAAAAATGGTAAAGAAAAGAACAAAAAATTCCACCGAAAATTCTCAAAAAAACAACAGTAACAAATAAGTCATAAAATAGAAAATGAAAAAGGACAAAAATTTCACCAAAAACGGCAAAAAAGACAAAAGCGCGATAAAAAAAATAAAGAACAGGTGACTGCAAAAAAAAGCGATAAAAAAGGACAAAAAGTCTACAAAAAATGGCGACAAAAAATGCGAAAACAGAGTACAAAAATATCCATAAAAATGAGACAAAAAAGAAAAAAAAATAACAAAAAAGCGACAAAGGTTCACAAAAAATGGAGATAAAAAATGCGAAATCAGAGTACAAAAAAAAATAGAGAAAAAAGTCTACAACAAAAAAGTAGTAATTCAAAAAGGGAAGCAAAAATCGTGATTAAATAAAGGGGTCACAAAAATGCAACAAAAAGGGAATAAAAAAGCAACTAAAAAAATTACCAAAAAAATGCGAAAACAGCATAAAAATCTTAAAAAAATACGATTGGGGCAGTGACAAAATCCAAAAACTCGAGGAAAAAGTCCAAAAAAATGGGTCCAAAAATGCGAAATAGGAGGACACAAAACCCAATGAATATGAGAAAGAGGTCACAATAAAAATTAACTAAAAAAGGGACAAAAAAGGGTCTGTGAAAAATAGAACAAAGAAGCAATCCAATAAAAGCGACGAAAAGTACACAAAAAAGACAACAAAAAAGAGACAATCAAAAACTCAATAAAAAAAGACTACAAATAGTGACCACAAAAAATGGTAAAAAAGGACAAAAATGGAACAAAAAAGTCCACCGAAAATTGTCAAAGAAAACAACAATAAATGGCTAGAGAAAGGACCAAAAGTAAAAAAAAGGGAATAAAAAAAAAGGACAAAAATTGCTCAAAAAATACGATACAATTTTCACAAAAAAAGTGACAAAAAAAGCAAAAAATCTATAAAAAAGATCACAAAAATTTACCTAACAGAAGAGATTCAAAAAGATCATAAAAAATACAATAAAAAAAGACGGTAAAAAAAAAGGGAAAGCGACAAAATGAGACCACTACAAAGTGACAAAAAAACTGCTACAAAAGCGCTAAATAAGAAAATAAAAGAATGACAAGAATCAGGTACAAAAAATACAAAAAAAGCCGTTAATAAAAAAAGTATCAAAACACCAACACAAAAACTGGTAAAGAAGTGGCAAAAAGTCAAAAAAGAACATTAAAAAAGGACAAAAAGTCCACAGAAGTGCGAAAGCAGAAAACAAAAAAATCATTTAAAAAATGCGAAAGAAAAGACCACGGTAAATAAATAATATAAAAAACCGACAAAAATTCCATTAAAAGATTACACAAAATACAACTAAATATGTTTACTACAAAAAGTGAAGAAAAACACAAAAACTACTAAAAATGAAACTAACAGAGGGAGATAAAAAAGGTCATAAATACAAAAAAAAAATGCAATGAAAAAGGGACCAAAAATGCAAAGTAAAAAGACAAAAAATCCATAACAAATGAGAATAAGGTCACAACAAAAATTAACTAAAAAGAGCCAAAAAGGCGACAAAAAAATGCTATTAAAAGAAAGGGTTCAAAGAAGACAACAAAAAAAAGGTCAAAAAAGACGACGAAAAGTATATAAAAAAGGCTACAAAAGAGGAGATAAAAAAGTCAATAATATATGATGGTATAAAAGGAAAAAAGTAAACAAAAAAACTATCAAAAAAGTGACAAAAAATGCGATAAAAAAAAGGATTAAAAAACAATGAAAAAAAGTCCACAAAAAAGGTGAGTACAAAAAAAGCGATAAAAAGCTGCTATCAACAAAAGAAAAGGATAGAGTCCACAAAAAATGGCGACCAAAAACGCGGAAACAGAGGACAAAAATATCCATAAAAAGTGAGATAAAAGCTGTAACAAAAAAGTACTAACCAAAAAAAGGGGGGGCAAAAAAGCGATTAAATAAAGGAGCCAGAAAGGCAACAAGAAAGTTCACAAAAAAAAAATAAAAAAAGGCCGACAAAAAATGCGAAAACAGAGGGCAAAAAAATACATAAAAAATAAGAAAAAAGTCTACAATGAAAAACGCCGAAAATTTCCAAAGAAAACAACAGAAAATGTCTAGGACAAAAAAATGCCGACAAAAAAAAAAAAATTATGATAAAAAAGGTCACAAAAATGAACTTAACAGAAGGTCACAAAAAAACTAGACACAGAAAAATACAAAAAGTCTAATAAAGAAGTATCAAAATGCAACAAAAAAGGTCACAAAAAAGGAATCAAAAGCCAATAAAAAAATCCACAAACGAATGGTGACTGAAAATACGACTACAGATGGGAGACAACAAATGAGAAAAAGGTCACAAGAAAAATTAATAAAAACGACGAAAAGTATAGGAAAGTAGGAAATTCAAATAACATTTACTACGCAAATTTTCGTTTCACTATTTACACGATATTCCTAAAATACATAACACTTTTGTAAAATCACTCGGATAGTTTCGGAAATTATTTGATAGATGGAATCGGGAGACCTATTTTATCAAATTCTAGGGCTCATGGACCGTCAAAATGAGTGAACTTTTCTTTAACGAGACAACTTTGAAGTATAATTGCAATAATTGTGCTCAACTTCGACTTTTTCTTTACAAATCGTTTTAGATAACATTGTTGATTCTAAAGAAACCACTTTGAATGATACAATAGCTATTATTAATAAAACGAAATCTACAGCAAGTAAAAATTCTTTATGGCATCAATGTAGCTGTAATCAAAGCACGTTTACAAAACAGCACAAAAGAGGCCAATTTTAGTACAACATTACACCACCATTCAATTTATTTTGTAAAACAGATCAAAAGAACGCTATTTAAAAACACAACTAACGATCTCGGTGTCTTCCAGGACCAGTCCTCGCACCTTAAAGTTTTCAATTTATATCAACGATCTTTCACGAAATTAAACCAGCGATCAAGTATAATCCGGCGAAACTCCGTAAACCCCTCGTTTATTTACACATAACAAAACCCCAATTTATTTCTCTCTATTCTGGTGTATTGCTAATTAACGTAGACTCTCTTTGTAGATTAACTCGGGTAGCTTTAGCCGAACTATGTTGCTTTTAACAACGTTCTTATTGTTATTATTTGATGAGAACGGGCCAAATAATAGCTAGTTTGTTCTAAATTAGGCAACCAACAATACACACAAACGCTTTGACCTTTAAGTCACCCTTCCGGCGGTTTTGTTTTCCGTTAAATAAAATCCCATTTATTATTAACCACAAAACAAACGCACGACGAAAAAGCTTTGTTTTTCTGCTTAAAGGTTTAGTTGTTTTTTTGGCGACTGTGTGTTTTCGGTGAAAGGAATGCGGGGATTTTTCGACTTTAACAAACACGTAGAAGGTAATCATTCGGATAATTGGACGAAATACAAGAATGGGGGTTGTGTTCGATTTAATAACTTCCCCGTGACGTCGCCACTAAGCTAATTGGTGTAATTTTTCAAGCAATATTCAAGGTTTCCATTCAATTAGAATGTCGCAAGACTGGAAGCGGTTTTTTACCACGCTTGCGAAACGGAGCAGAATTTGCATTACGAGTCGGATTTTCCCAGATTTAAACCCAGCGGCGGCTCAACAGCGGGAAAATCCCGTTATTTCTATTCAATTTGGAAGGGTTTTGGGAAAATTTACCTTCAAAAGCTGGAACTTCTGCTCAGCCTCCTTATCGCCCTCGTTCTTGTCGGGATGGTACTGCAAGGCCCGCACTTTATACTCGGTGGTGATCTGCTCCACCTGGAAAACGGGCCGTGAGTGTGTGCCGCCCCCAGCCGCCCCCGACTCACCGTGGAGGTCTCGTCGCACCCCAGAATGCCATAGTAGTCCTCCTCTTCCTTCCTCTTGTAGTTGAGGATCTCGTCCACATTGGTCATTTTCACGCGAACACCGCACTGCTCAGCTTTCCCACTCCGACTGAGGAATCAGGGAAAAGCCCGGCTCGGGAAACTGAAAACCTGCGCTGCGGAAAATCGAGCCGACGTGGAGTGAACGGTTGCTCAAGAATGAGTGAAAGTCGGACGATCTGGAAGCGGTCAGTGCGGTTTGGGTTTTAAGTGTGCGAAGATAAGAGGCGACTTAAGTCGGCAAGGAGGGGGGCGTGTACTGTACTTAAGTCGTTTGAACGATTTATTTCCCATAGTTACCGAAAGTGCTGGCAAATTTGTAAGGAATGTCGTGTAGATGGTAAAACGCTAACCAAAATTTGGCTAATCGTCCCCACCACAAATTCGATGACGTCATCTCCAAATTTACAATAAAGATTTTTAAAAATTTTATAAAATACGATGCTCCTGTACCTGTGGTCTATGAATCCGTGATAAGTTTTCACGTTAGACACACAGATTTAGATTTTTGAAAAAAAAAGAACGACTCGCTCCATTGTATCTATCTAAATTGATAAACGTGTCCTTGTAAAAATGTCGATGACGTCATTACAAAATAAAATTTGCAAAATCAATCTTATAATTTTTTCCTATCACAATTTTTTTATTTCAAAATTTTTTTTAATTTCTTCAATTTTTTGATTTGCAATTTTTCCATTTTTCAATTTTACAATTTCTCAATTTTTAATTTTCAATTCCTCGCTTTTCCAAATTTTAAAAAATTTTCGGGATTTCCATTTTACAATAGTTATTTCGTTTTTTCGATTTTTAAGTTTCTGAATTTTTAGTCTCTTGATTTTTGAATTTTTCGTTTCTCAATTTTTCAAGTCCAATTTTGAGATCTTCAAAGTATTCATTTTATACTTTTTGTGTTTCATTTTTGATTTTCCAATTTTACAATTTTGCAATCTTTCCACATTTTGATCGGAATTTAAAAAATCGAGAAATTTAAAAATTGATAATATCGAAAAGTCTATTTTTTTTTTAAATCGAAAAACCGAGATTGAAATCGATCGCTATATGAAAAAATCGAGAAATTGATGTCGAAAAATCAAAACAATTAAAAATTTCGAAAATTAAAAAATCGAAAAACCGAAAAATCGGGAAATCGAGAAATCAAAATATCGAAATTGCGGAAAATCGAAAAATTAAAAATTTAGAAATTGAAAAATTTTAAAGTAAAAAAATGGATACATCGAAAAATTAAATCAAAATATCGAAAAATTCCAAATTTGTATAATTTAAAGATTGAGAAATCAAAAAATTCAAGAAGTTTTTGAAAATCGTGAATTTGAAAAATGTAAACTTACACACTCGAAAAACTGTAAATTGAAAAAGTAAGAAGAAACTGAAAAATAGAAAAATTGTAAAATTTTCTAATTAAAAAATGGGAAATTTGTGAACTGAGAAGTTTAAAAATGAAAAAACCGAAAAATCGATAAACTGCAAATCGAAACATTGAGAAATCAAAAAATTTAAACATTAAAAACACATGATTTGAAAATTCGAAAAATTGAAAAATTTTAAACTTTAAAAATCAAAAAATTAAAAAATCGAAAAACTGAAGAATTGAAAAATCGCAAATTTGATTATAAAATTGAAAAGTTCAAAAATCGGAAAACTGAAAAATGAAAAAATAAAATCGTGAAATTGAAAAATCAAAAAAGTGAAAAATCGAAAAAACAAAAATTTTTAAATTTTAAAAATTGAAAAACCGAAAAATCTAAATCCGATGAGTCGAAAAATCCAAAGGTGAAAAATTAAAAAATGTGAGACTTAAAAAATCGATAAATTAAAATTTAGAAAAATTGATAAAATTTAGAAATTGAAAAATTGACAAAACCGAAATTGTCAAAATTCAAAAAATCTAAAAACCAAAAAACCGGGAATTCGAGAAATCAAAATATCGAAATTGCAGAAAATCGAAAAATAAAAAATTGAGAAATTGAAAAATTTTAAAGTTAAAAAATGGATACATCGAAAAATTAGATCAATGGAAAATCAAAATATCGAAAAATTCAAAATTGAGAAATCAAAAAATTCAAAAAGTTTTTGAAAATCGTGAACTTGAAAAATTTTAAATTAAACACTCGAAAAACCACGTACTGAAAAAGTAAAGAGTGAGAAACTGAAAAATCAAAAAATTATAAAATTGTGAAACTAAAAAATGGGAAATTCAAGTTTTAAAATCAAAAAACTGAAAAATCGAAAAAGTGAAATATAGAAATCCGGGGAATCGAAAAACTAGAAAATTTAGAAAATCGAGAAATTGATCCCGAAAAATCAAAACAATGAAAAATTTCGAAAATGTAAAAATCGAAAAACCGAAAAACCGGGAAATCGGGAAGTCAAAATATCGAAATTACCGAAAATCGAAAAATAAAAAAGAGCGAAACTGAAAAATTTTAAAGTTAAAAAATGGATACATCAAAAAATTAAATCAAAGGAAAATCAAAATATCGCAAAATGCAAAATTTGTATAATTTAAAAATTGAGAAAGAAATAAAAAAATTCAGAAGAAAATCGTAAAATTGTGAAATTTTGGAATTAAAAGTGGGAAATTGATAAACTGAGAAGTTTTAAAGTGAAAAAATTGCAAATCGAAAGATTGAGAAATCAAAAAATTGAGACATTAACAATACATAATTAGAAAATTCGAAAAATTGAAAAATTGTAAAACTGGTTTGTAAAAATTTGAAAACCGAAAAATCGAAAAATTGTAAAACTGTAAAACTAAAAATGGGAAATTGAAAAATTCAAATTTTAAAATCAAAAAGAAAACAAAAATCAAAAAGCTTAAAATCGTGAAACTGAAGAATTGAAAAATCGAAAAATCGAAAAATTGATTATAAAATTGGAAAGTTTAAAAATCGAAAAAGTGAAAATTTTCAAAAATCGTAAAACTGCGCTGTAAAATTTGAAGACTGAAAAATCGAAAAATTAAATATCGGAAAACTGAAAAATCGAAAAATTGTAAAATTTTGGAATTATAAATGTGAACTTGATAAAGTAAGAAGTTTTAAAAAGAAAAAACCGAAAAATCGGTAAACTGCAAATCCAAACATTGAGAAATCAAAAAATTGAAACATTAAAAATAGATAATTTGAAAATTGGAAAAACTGAAAAATTTTAAACTTTAAAATTCTAAAAATTAAAAAATTGTAAAACTGGTTTATAAAAATTTGAAAACCGAAAAATCAAAAATTGTAAAACTGTAAAACTAAAAATTGGAAATTGAAAAATTCAAAATCTAAAATGAAAAAAAAAACAAAAAATCAAAAAGCTTGAAATCGTTAAACTGAAGAATTGAAAAATCGAAAAATTGATTATAAAATTGAAAAGTTTAAAAATCGAAAAACTGAAAACTTTAAAAATCGTAAAACTACGCTGTAAAATTTGAAGACTGATAAATTGAAAAATGAAGTATCGGAAAACTGAAAAATATAAAAATAAAATCGCAAAATTGAAAAATCGAAAAGCAAAAATTTTAAAATTTGAATAATTGAAAAACCGAAAAGTTCAAAAATCGAAACATCAAAATTGTAAATGTAGAACTGAAAAATTGAAAAATTTGAAATTTAAAAAATTGTAAAATTAAGACATTCATATTTAATATCGAAAAATTGAAGAATTGGAAAACTGGAAAATTTTAAATAAACTAAAAAAATGGATAAATCGAAAATTTGAAATATTTAACACTATCAGAAAACTAAACTATCGAACACTTAAAAATTTGTAAAATTTAAAAAAATGGAAAATTTAAAAGTTCTGTAGTTTTTCAAAACCGAAAAGCTGAAAAATGTACAATTAAACACCCGAAAAACCAGGTATTGAAAAAGTAAAGAGCGAGAAACTAAAAAATCAAAAAAATATAAAATTGTGAAACTAAAAAATGGGAAAGTCAAGTTTTAAAATCAAAAAAACTGAAAAATCGAAAAAGTGAAAAATTTGAAAGTTTAAAAATCGAAAAACCAAAAATTTTTGAAATCGTAGAATTCAAATCGTAAAATTTGAAGATCGAGAAATCGAAAAATTGAAAATTTGTAAAACTAAAAATGCGAAATTGAAATATTCAAGTTATGAAATGAAGAAAAACAAAAAATCGAAAAGCTCATAATCGTGAAACTGAAAAATTAAAAAATCGAAAATCCAAAACTGAAAAATTCAAAATTTCAAACATTGATAAACTGAAAAATTTGAAAATCGTAAAACTGCTCTGCAAGATTTGAAGACTAAAAAAACGAAAAATTAAATATCGGAAAAACACAAAATCAAAAAACAAAATCGTGGAATTGAAATATGTAAAAACCGAAAAACTGAAAAATCGAAAATTAAAAAATTCAAAATTTCAAACACTGAAAAACCGAAAAATTGAAAAATTGAAACATCAAATAATTTATACATCTAAAATTTTAATGTTAGAAAAATTGAAAAATATAAGTATTGAAGACCTGAAAGATTGAAAAATCATAAAATTAATGCATAGAAGAATTGAAAAATTGGAAAACTGGAAAATTTTAAATAAAATAAAATAATGGATAAATCGAAAATTTGAAAAATCGGGAAACTAAACTATCGAAAAAAATTGTAAAATTTGAAAAAATGGAAAAATTCAAAAATTCAAAAAAAAAAAACTGAAAATTCGAAAAACTGAAAGATAAAAATTAATAATGTAAAAATTAGAAAAATTAAACAATTTTATTTTTTAATAGAAAAACCGATAAATCTAAAAACCAAAAAAAGCGGAAAACTCAAAATCGTGAAACTAAAAATTTAAAAATCAAAAAACTGAAAAATCTAAAAATTTAAAAACCGAAAAATGAAAAATCGAAGAACCAACAATTTTAAAATTCGAAAAATTGAGAAACTGAAAAGTCGATAAATCGAAGATCGAGAAATCGGAAAGTCAAAAAGTTGAAAAATCTAAAACTCGAAAAATTGTCAAATTAATCCATGTTTCGAAACATTCAGAAATTGAAAAATCCAGAAATCGAAAAATTTCAAAACTGAATTGTCAAAAAATCAGAGAATTTGAGAAATCGAAATTGAGGAAAATCGAAAAATTAATAATTAAAATTTTAAAGTTAAAAAATGGATACATGAAAAAACTGGAACATTGAAAAATCGAAATATCAAAATATCAAAAACTTCTAAAATTTAAAAGTGGAGAAA